TTCTGCCTCTCATAAGCACACTGGAGACTGTAACCAAAACCCCAAACTAGAGCCATGGCAGTCTGTAATATAGCGGTTAAAGAGTTTGACTTCTCTTGAGAAATGTTGCAGTTTATTTTTCTTTCTTTTTTTAACATAGTGTTGAACTTCAGCCCTTAAGGATGTCCAGTTTGCTGCTAATGTACTGTAGTTTCTAATGATACTGTAGAAAGATGCATGCTCTGATCGCTTTACCACTAGGCTTTAATGACTACAAACTGTAATGATACCTGTGATGCTGTTGATAAACTGCTCCTCTGTTATTCTGTTTTAAAACAAAGAGATATGTGGGGCTCAATTCCATCAGGTTTGTGTTTTCAGTATCATATTAATTACTCCTACTCAAAGGATAAAAATGGCTTTCCTAATACCAGAAATATTTTTTCAAGCTTCCAGTTTTAAAGAAACCTGCTTAGGGCATTAGCTTCTCAATACTTATGGAGATACTGTAAGCTATTTGAAGGAGTTCAGCCCCAGACCTTCCACTGGTAAGGTGTCAGTCTTTCTGTGTTGTAATGTCTCTAGTCCATTTGTCCAGCTAAAACAGCTTTGCTGAACTTAGACTGACATCGCAGCCAATTTTCCAAAGGATGTACACTTACTAACTCTGTCATGTTTTGTTCTTAAACTAACCAATGTTTACGACAATACCAATGAGCTTTCTTCTGTACAGAAATGTGCATTCCAAATACCACAAAGGCAGTTTTTTGTATACTGATTATTTCAATTTAATTTCTGTTGTATTCTCTTGATCTTAGTGACTGTAAGATGTACATATTGGGGTCCTCTATGGTGAAGGGACTCTGTTAACCTTACTGTAGGTAAAACTATTCTTTTCATTTTTTTTCTGGATATGTTGTTGCCATAGTGATGACCAAAAAGATACCTGTGATGTGCACCTGTCCTTATGTCCTGCTCCAGTGGTTTAGTATGTCTCTATACTCTCCTTTCCCAAGTTCTCCCCTACTGGTGTGTGTTTCTCTTCCTTTCCCTTCCCATACTCCACTGAGCTAAATAAAGTCTGCTTTGGTGCATGCTCTTGTCTCATCCCTGTGTTTTAACCGAGAGAAGCCATTTTGTGAACGTTGTGGTATGCAAGGACGTTATAAGTGTATCGTACTCCAGGTTGTATATTCCACGTCGGTGTGTCTGGCTGGAAGGCTTTTGATGTGCAAACCGTGTGTGTGTGTATAACACAGCAGTGTGTGGAAGGCGTTTGGTGAATGGAGCCATGACCTCTGGGGTCACTTCATTAATTACATCTGTGACATTCAGCCAGATGAGTTTCCTTTGTGACTAAATGATATGATGAATATTAACGACCTCAGATGAATTACACTGCTTCTTCTGCTGCTGATGATAATGTGTTTTACGACTCTAGGAGAGAGGGGAGTAAAATTGCACACTACAGCACATTTAGTACAAGCAGATTTTCACATGTAACATTCCAGAGAGCACAAGGTAGAGTATTAGAGCAGGTTTTATTATTTGGTTATTTTTGGGTAAAACTTTCCAGTGGTTGATGTGACAGCTTGCCAGAGAGAAAAACCAAAATCAAGAATGGGTTTTTAATTCTCAGAGTCTGGAAACAAACAAACAAACTGGTATCTGGTCCTTTCCTCTACCCTCTAGCAGCATACTGTTAATTTAACCATTACACATGAATGCGACAGAGAAAACAAATCTGTGAAACGGTTCTGAATGTGGTTTCAGGGACCAGACAAACGGATACATAGGTAGAACAATAGCAAAGTAAACACAGAAGAGGGCTTTAGATAGCTTCGTAGCTGATGATAGCCATCTTAGAAAGTCACCCTGATAAAGTGATCCCCCACCATTTCTCCTTCTCCCTGTCCTCCCCCTCTTAATCAAATGAGTACTGTGCAGCTGGTGGGGTTGCGGCAAAAAGGGGTACGAGTGTGTGTGCAGAGGAGGTGGAAGGGGGGGGGGGCTTTGAGGGATGGCGTGAAATTATTGCCTGCTGGTGTATATGTGTCGCTGGGGGTAGAAGGGCAGAGTAGGGGATTGGGCTGGGGTTGGGGGGGTGTAATGTCATTGCCTGCTGGTGTATCTGTAGTGGGGGCTCATTTAGATTTAGATTGGTTATGTGAGGAGAGAGCTGAAAGGCCAGCTCATGTTTATGCATGAATCCCAAAGCATGCTGCTGTGGTGGAGCCACGAGTTAAAGAGACAGAGCTGAAATACATTCGCACATTTAGATACAGCTCTGCTTCTTTGGATAAGGCTTCAGTCGAAAGCGACGCTGTGCTATCTGATGCATTTCCATCAGTGTGTGTGTCAGCCTGTTTGTGACATTGTGTATATGCAGACAGATTACATCAATGTCCAAATGAACATTATGATGCCTCTTTAATCTAAACAAAATGAGATCTAATTTTTGTTTTAAAATGCAAACCACCCACAGCAATCCACTGACCGACTGTTTCCTGAAGATTGCTTTGGTATCTTCTACAGCTGATGCAGAGCTATACTCAGTACATGGGTGCTTCCCACATTACACTCACTCACACACCAAAAGTAATCAGTAAATGTCTTTGAAGTAGAGTTTGTTCAGCACTTCATCAGGTATAAAGTGGTTTTTATTTGGAAATGTGGTCCCTATCCATCTTTTAAATGACTTTTTAATGGTCGTCACACCGTCCTAATCAATCATGTGGCAGAGCTGGTCTGCAAGTGCAAATACTCTCCATTTATTATTCCTCCATTCTTCTACCAAAAACTGACAATCTGTGCTTTCTTAGTACTGTAAATGAGCATACATTTGAATGAAATAGTCTTTCTGATTTTCTGGAAACATTAGAAATACATCCTATTCTGATCTGAGCCATGCGTAATCTGTCTTTATATCATATCCACACTCTCTCGACCGCTGCAGAAAGATTTGATAGTATAGCTCTATACAAAATACTGCTGTTTATTGTCATTCTTTGGCGTCTCTCCATTCAAGCACACACTTTTTTGGGGACCCCACACCATCCCCCATCCTAACTGGCACCCCCCGTCGGCCCCCCTTTAGTACTTTACATCTATAATGAGATACAAATACGCATCAGCAGGACAGTGTCTACGCCACGCGTCACTGTGTGAATATTACTCACACTTATTAGCTGGATTATGTTAATCTTTACACTCTCTGCTCACAGACAACAGACTCCCCATGATATGGGGGTGGTCACGGCAGTAAGCGTGTGCTGTCGCGTGTGTTTGTGTGTGTAAGTGTGTATGGCTGTATGTGTGTGTTGGAGTGATTGCCATGTTGTCAAACTGATCTGCATGTGAAAGGGCGGTCTAATTACATCACTTATGCAAATGAGAAATGCACATATGCACGCACCTACATACACACCACTGACAGCTTACTACTAAGGTCAAAAAGACAGTGTGAGCTATCCTCTTATTGACTAACACAAGGTGGCATCACCACCTGTCAGAGAGACATGTCTTGACATAATACAGATAAGTCACAATGGATGTTTTGATACACTCCTTCAGATAAATTAGTGTAAAGAAGTGGATGGGTCAAGCTCACAGTAAACTAAAGCACTTAAACTGTTATTGGAAAAATCTCCAACCACATATCCACTGATTAGTCTTCTTTCAGACTGAAACATTGATAGTATCCCCGTTGGAATGATTGATTGAGTCCGACACATTTTAATTACGCCCAAATTAAATGAATCGGCTGGCGGACTATAAAACATTGCCGTTTAATAACGAGCCTCTCCATTTGCCTTTTTTCTAGCTTCATCCAATCCCATTTTGGCTGCCTGCACCAAATAACCTCTCTCCATTTAATGATATGCAAATGAATTTTCATGAACCCCATGATCCCATGCGATGATTAAACTGAGATGACATTAGCTGCCATGCTGCTGCCACTGTCAGTGTTTCTGTCTGCCTCTTTTCTCTCTTCCTATCTCTACCATCTTTCTTCGTATCCACGACAACGGCCAACTGGCAATATTAGGGGTTCATTGTCACTATTCCCTTATGAATTTGCTCTGTGAGAGATGACATTCTGCAGATCCAGTGTTATTTCAGAAAAGTTTGTCCAATGGCAACAGAGATGGAGCATCAGAGCGGGATGTTGGTTCTCACAACGGTTTGGTAGTGGTTACCCAAAGACAAACATGTTACAACAATATACAATTATTGTAATGCAGCCACATCATATAATCGATTTGGTAACCTTCCACATCTCTTGGTTTTCCAATTCCAGTGCTCCCCTCCCACCGTTCCATTTCAGTCTGGATCCAGCTCCACCTCTGCTGTCGTTTATTGTACTCCATTTGCATAATGAAGCCAAGGCTTAATTAAGATCCCACTGGAGTCTGGAGCCATGGATGAAGGAAAGGAGGAGGAGGAGGAGGAGGAGGGGAGGGGGGATCCGGCGTTCCTTAGCTTATCCGCACGTGTCCAAATAGGAGGCACAATTTAAGGGGGGAGCAAAGCGTTGACGAGCGATTAAATCGCTAATTATGATCGGCTGTTAGAATTAGTGTGTGGCTGTTAATTAGCTGCAGATGAGATGCCCAGACAGTTGCCCGCCCCTGACGACTGCAGCACCCTCCCTGACTGGCAATAGAGAAACACAGCTTGACACCCTGGAGATGATGCCAACACATCCCTCCCTTTAACACACACAGCAAGCTGAGGGGATATCCCTTTAAGAGTGTCCCAGGTGTGCATGTGCAGGAAAGAGCCTCTTCATCATCCTTGTCCACCCACTCTCACTGTTCTTCGTTAAGCACAAAATTCAATTTTTTTCTTCTTCTGTATCCTTTATGCCAATTATTCCTCTTCTTTCAGAAACTCGTCCTCTTCGTAATGGAATGGTACAATCCCTTGTAGTTTTCTGTAATGGGCAGCCGCTTCCTTCCGGTGCTGTAGTTGGCACTGAGCAGGGTTGGCATCGAGAAAATGTTATTTCGCCCTTTACTCCCATACCATTAGTTGCATGTGGCTCTGGTTCAGACATTCTGCAACTATTTTGGGTCCGCATTTACTTTGCTTTCTAACGGCTTCTGGTGGCGCCGGGAATGCCTCCCTTTTTGCGTTTGGCATGGTGCCATCCCTGTTTCTGGTCTTTCCCTTGAGGCGATCCCATCGCCAAAACATTTAAGGCAACCGAAATATTATGCTCACCGTATGGAGGTTTGTCTTTGCAAATGTGTGTTACGTTGGCTTGGCATTGTGCCATCTTTCTCCCGGTGCCCTTGCCGCTCCTGAAAAGATGCCATCACAGAATCGCTGGCAACCGTTGCCTGGGCACTTCTTCTTGGCTTTGTCCAAGCAAACAAGCGGCGATTAGCAGCAAATCCTGAGGTGAGTCCCCTTGTCTTTGACTAAGACTGTTCTTCACCGAAAGCTTTGATCGTTTTGGATATGCCATGCCTGAAGGCTGGCATGGTGCCCGCTGGCTGGCATGGTGCCCGCTGGCTGGCACGCTTTCGCTGGCATTGAGAGAAAGAAACGATGATAAATTAACGGAATTCCGGATTTTTCGCCGCCGATTTTTTCGTTTGATAATCGGTCATCACTGAGTATCACCTTACTGTTTTGTAGTATCATCCACTTCGCCATTTAACATCCTTCTTTGCTTCCCGTCATCCATTTCCATCTTAGTCATCCTGTGTCTGCTGGCATCTTGCTCACTTCTATGCTCTGCTGTAATCTCAGAATTTCTAAATCTGCATTTCTTCGCCCGCTCTGCCGTTCGTTTCGCCCAGTTGTGCCCGTGCCAAGGTGGCACCATGGTAGCAGTATGGAGGTCTGTTCCTGTTCCTCTTCCTCTTCCATTCTTATTCTCCTCGCCCCTTCGCCCGTGCCCATGCCCGCCCCGCTCAAGTCCTGACTGGATGGCACTGTGCCAACCTGCCACCGCCATCGCTCTCATTTGTAGCTCATCCCTCCGTTGCCCTTCCCCCTGACTCTATATTTCCATCCCTCTCTCCTTCCCTCATTTCATTCATCCACTTATTGAATCATTTACCCTCTGTGTGTATGAAATACTGCATTTGTATGTTTACACAACATTAGCCGATTAACACAACTTTTCATTTCTTAATGCGTGCAGAATATTGGCGGTCTTTGTGGTCATTTGGGAGACTTTTTTGGCACCTGAAGGAATGCTCTGAGTGACTGCAATGTAGATAATTACCGCTGCAGTTACTTATTCCACCGAGACAAGAGGAGGAAAAGGAAGAGAGCCCTGAGTTTGGATAAAGCTTGTGTTGTTTTAATTAACTTTACCAACCCCCAACATGTGTGCATCTTTAACATCTCTTGTGCAGGTTTTTGTTTTAGCACACACACTATACAAACAGACATACGACTTATCCGATTATCACTAAAATCAATTGTGTACAATTGACCTTCCCCACTATTTCTAAGATGACCCTTACTCCCTTGTTTTCTTCTTCTCCTTTTTTAAATCTCTTGTGTCAAACAAAAGCTGCCAGTGGTGGTGGAGCTATTAAGCAAATACTCTCATTAGAACACAAAACATAATTAATATGTAAATGATGTGTGTAATTTATGCATGGTCTGACAGACTTGTTCTCTTTTCAATTCTCCATTGTATTCCCTCTATTTATATCCCCTTTACTTAAAACTTCACACTCTTACGCCAATGTTCCTCTTTTCTTAGACCACATACTGTGAATGAATCCGTGGGGGATGTCTTGAGGTCTTTCCTATTGTCTCTTTTTTTGTACACATTTCTCCCTGCCTTTAACCATGGTTTATAGTTTCTAATAGTATCTCTGAGTCTCTGTTTTCCCTGCTTGCCTCTCTCTGCTCACAGCCTGTCCTCTCCTAAAACAAACCCTGCAGTGACGCATTAAACCAACAACTGAGTGTTTGAACAAGGTCTTTCTTCCAGGAATATGAATACTGAATAATCTATCCACTAAATAACATCCACACTGCACTGTGTCGTATTCTGTGTTTTCTCTTTGTCTGTCCCTGAATATGTTGATCTTAATGTGTGGTCCAAACCATGTGGTAAATTGAAGAATGTCCTGATAGACGGTGAGTAGCCTTGCTCCTGTCTAGGATAAACACCTATAATACGCTGGCTCCCTTGGCAATCACCATAGCAACAAACCATGGTACCCACGTGAGTTGCATAATAAGATGTTCTCCAAGACCACAGACCATAAAGCGGCGACAAACTAGACACCTGCAGTAATGGATGTGAATCAGAAAACAACAGTTCAAATGTAAAATGTCACCTCCGACTCATTCCAGACCAATCCTTTCTATTTATCAATAGGCTCACATCACACCACACAACACACAGCCTTTATTAGATGCTCATGCACCTTCTCTCTGTCTCTCCAGACCTTAACAGGTGCTGATGAGCCACAGTCAATGATTGTAATGAGCTATCGATCACCGTGGGAAAACCAAGGGACAGAGAGGGTGAGGGAGGTAGGGGGAACCAGAGGACACACACACAGACAGAAGGAGGTGGACTGCCAGAAAAGAAAAAAACTTCAAATGAGCTAAATGGAGACAAGCTACCCAAGACAGGGTATCAATACTTGCTTTAATCAAGTCCTTATCTCCTATTGTTCTGCTTAAAATAGAATATATGGGGAAGGGCTGTCTGCCAGCGCAGGTTGAAGGGAGGTTTTGAACCCAGAGTAGCTTCTGGACGGGCTGATCTGCTCAGGATGACCATGCAGACTCGTTTGTCGTGACCGGGTCCAGATGCCCGGGAATGGCACTGGTGCAGTATCTCTATTTTCTTCTTTTTGTGCTGTGTGCATGGAGTGGAGGCAGACAGCTTTAGGGAAGGGGGAGGTGCGTTGTGTGTGTTGGCTGGCGTTTCAGATAATGAAATGCAGCAGGGAACAAAGAGCTGGGGGCCCCTATTCTCTGTGCTGCAGCTTCATTTTCAGTCCCGTTAGTCTATGATTCTTCCATACCCTCTTTCTTGTGTGTATGCGTGTGTGTTTATGTTTGTATGAGCAGTTTGTTGTGTACACCCGTGTCCCCTCCTCCTCCTGTTAGTATTCTGCATGGCAGATCCCCCTAATGTAATAACTGTGTCTGCATGTCTAATTTACAGCAGGAGAGAGTAAATAGCCTGTGGTTAATTACAGTACGTGTGTGTGTGTGTGTGTGTGTGTGTGTGTGTGTGTGTGTGTGTGTGTGTGTGTGTGTGTGTGTACGGGTGTGTGTGTGTACAGGTGTGTGTGTGTGTACGGGTGTGTGTGTGTCTACATACGCGTGGGTGTGTCAGAATGATTTATGAGTTGCAAATAGCTACACCAGTGGCCCGTTTCTCCTCACTTAGTTTTTAATCTGTCTTTCCATTAATTTTCCTGGAGACGTTATTATGGTTTTATAACGGTGTGCACGAGGATACATATGTGAGTGCACGTATTTGTTAATGAGACAAAGGTGTGGACATTTTGTGAGGATATAGGCTAGTTGGGCACCTGAGCTGTACTTTGCTTTTCCCTCCTTAGAGAACTCCATTTGCCTTCCTTCCTTTCCCTCCTTTTTTCCATTGCTTCATTCACTCTCTTCATTGAGAGCCACAATGAACACAGATCTTTATTGACAGTACACGGTAGAACATGGAAACAGCAGGTCAATCCGTTTAGCCCAAGGGCCGATACACCAATTCACCAATTTGTCAGTGTTAGTTTGAGAGAGAAAAGCAGCTAATCTCTCCTCTCTGCTCTCTATTGATCACACACTTAGACTCCACTTCTCTGTCTAAACACTATTGATTCTCTCTCTCTCTCAATCTCTCTTTCTTTCTCTCTTTCTGTCTTGCTCTCGCCACATACCACAGCTCTCAACACATCTTCACTTCATACACTGACTTCTGCTTGGACAGAAGTTGAATATTTGAGACTGTATTTCCTAAAGCCCCGATTCACATTTGTAATGAATTCTTGAGAACATTTTAGCATGAACAAAACAAGACTAAATCAATTCAGTAATAGTGTAATAGAGCTTATCAACTATACAAATCATTTAAGAGTTTATTCCACAACTGTCACATATTGTTCCATGCTGTGTTCACTCAAAAGCGTATGCATAGTCTCATTAAAAAAATCAATTACGTAGCAACCCCTACACAGCTTCAACACAGACAATGATTACAAATTCACTGCTGGGTACACTGTCTCCCGGCTTTGTTTTTCAGCCTGACATCACAGGGTGCACTTGAAAAGGACCATATTCCTGTCAAGATGAAGGCTACGCAAAAATTATAGAAAGATTATCTTAAGGGAGATGGCACCCCTACATCAATCCAAATTGAACCAAAGATCACTACTTGATTGGTTTCAGTGTGTGTGGGGCCTTGTCACGTTTTAGTTGAGACGTAACATTTGGAAAAGGAATGATTACACTGTTGATGACAAGATGAAACACAGAGACAGACCTATGACACAAAAACAGGCGTTCTTCTTGCATCTATCATATCCTTCTGCCATAATATCTAATAAACGAAATGTAAACAGGGAATCCCAACTGTTACTCAGATGCTTTGAAAAACAGCCATTGGTTTCCCTATCTTCCCTACATAGCGTGTATGTATTAGACTTGTACCCCCTCTACTGGTGATATAAACACATTACAAATGTTAAACTGTGCAGGTTACAAAACATAAACACATGGATTGTGTAACCTAAAATCAGCTGTTTGATAACCGGCACTTGGGCTATGGTGAGGGCGTGGAGCGCATCATGTGCTAAATGTTTAATGTATAGTTATTAACAATCAGTCACCTTTTAGTTTGAAATGGCTCCTTCAGCGGCTGCTAGTGAAGACAGGAAAGCCTTGGTGAGGAGGATGTTAATAGACGTTTTGATGGGTCGAGAAGATCCAGAGGGGTTCTTTGCGATGTGTGTGTCCGCTATGGGGCCCCAGGAGACCCGCTCTCAGTTCCTGGCCCTCATCCAGCCCCTGTCCACGGCCAACAGCTCCCTGCACTCCGGCCTCACCTCCATCTACGAGCAATATTTCTCCAAGGTTAGTGGGTAAAGTTATTTATTTAATACAAATAGCATTTTATGTTGTTGCACTTTTAAATACCTGGGTTACAAAGTTGTTAAAAGTTGCTTACAATGTAGGCCACAGTTTTTAAAAGAGAAGAAACAACAAGAATGCATTTTAATGAAAAACTACAAAATTCAAGTCGCCAAACTTGTAAGAAAAGTTGTCATGGCTAACGTGTTAGCAAACAATTAGCCATGATACTAGTTAGTGTTAGTCCCCAAAATTGACATTAGCCCTAATATAGCAACATGGACCCATATAAGTGGCACTTTCATTTACATGTATTCACTTTTTGATCTACCTGCTCCCGAGATAAATGCCTGACTCTTGGCTTTCCAAATAAACTGATGTCTTCTCCCCTCACTTCCTTTCTGCAACTTATTTTCCCCTGCATGCTCTTATTAGCATGTCAGGTGAGGCTAACTTGTGTTAGCTCCTGTACTGGGAGCATAGTGTTTTGGCTTTCTTGGACCAAATACCACATGCGATGAGTTAAAAATGAATATGTAAGTCCAATAAATAAGTTTGCCCAAGATCATTTAGCCACATATCACCTGAAGGCCCAGTGCAACTTCCTCTTCTCCTAGTGTATTAAAAATAAATAGTAAATATATTTAATAACCATATGTTATTTATTAGCAATACAATCAGTTTAAATACAAATGGCACGGTGCTGTGGAACATAGCCAATAGGGGTGTCAGAGAGATGTCCGTAATTCAAATGTTAAGACATCACCTGCATTTGTCGCACACACAAGTTAATACATGTAAAAGAACACATACCTGAATAGGTTTGTAGAAACTTTTTTGCATAGTTTCTGTAAAAATCCTACCCTGGTGGTTGATCTTATAAGGTAGCCTACAGTACAAACATCTGACCGATGAAAACATGCAAATATTGTATTTGCATGTTTTAATCTCTACCCCAATGACGATGAGCAGCTGTTTTAACAGTAGGCCTACTAACATTTCATTTTCCTATTTGAATTGGAGACTGAAGATGATGAACTGCAACTCGCATTGGCTCTCTCTCTACTGGAAGTGAAAAATGACCAGCTGTCAACCCCCAGCCAAGACTCCCCACTTCAGCCACCTAGAGACAGACCAAATCAGAGAAGCCCTGCTCAAAAGTCAACAGTATGTCAGCCTCAGGGAAACAGCAACACCAAGCCAGCAGATGGAGTTGGTAGGAGAGAACACACCATCACAACACAAACTGAAGCCAGGGTCAAGGCGAGCCCATTACAGACATTCAGAGAAACTGAGCTTCAGAAAAACAATGTTGACAAATATAAAATGGGGACACCGGGGACAAGTCTGGCTAGGTGTGTCTCCAGTCCGTCCGGCTTGTTTTTAAAGCAAAACACGATTGAAAAAGGTAACCAAATGAGGAACGAGGGAGATTTTAATCAACCAGAGACACCAAAACGCTCTAAGAACAGGCGGCAGAGGCGTAAAGGCGCTGGCCAGAAGGTTGTAGGTTTGCCCTGTTCTCCATCAGCACAACCACCCGTTCTGCTGTGGTTCAGGAGGGACTTGCGACTTGGGGACAATCCTGCTCTCATCGGCTCTCTGGAGGTTGGTTCACCCATCATCCCTGTCTTCATCTGGAGCCCTGAAGAGGAGGAGGGACCTGGGATAACAGTGGCTATGGGGGGAGCCTGTAAGTTAACGGAGGAAATAATAATAATGGTCAATCGTTGTCTCATATTGATTTTTTTTATTGAGTTTCATGTCTCCAGATGGTTGTCCTCTTACAAATGTTCTTTTTAACAGGTACATACTGGCTTCATCAAGCTTTGTCTTGTTTCTCTTCATCTCTGGAGCGCATTGGCAGCCATCTTGTCTTTCTTAAGGCAAATGGATCATCTCTGTGTACCCTTAAGGAGCTAGTAAGAGAGACGGGAGCTAGAACGGTCTTGGCTAACGCCCTCTATGAGCCCTGGCTGAAGGAAAGGGATGATGATGTAGAGTCAGACCTTCAGAAAGATGGTGTTGAATGCAAGATGTACCACTCATACTGTCTCAGAGACCCCTACTCTGTCAGCACTGAGGGTGTGGGACTCAGAGGTAAGTTGCAACAAGTTTAATTTGGTGAACAGAACTTCAATTATTTGTGGTAAATATCTGCTTTAAATCTGCTAGCAATACAAGTTAATTGGTAAGTTTATTCAATTGTGAACTGTGTTATCTTCTCTGGATTTAGGAATAGGTTCAGTGTCTCACTTCATGAACTGCTGTAGACAGAACCCAGGGTCTGCATTAGGGGCCCCTCTGGACCCTCCTGTATCTCTACCCACACCCGCGTATTGGCCTCAGGGTGTCTCTTTGAACGTGCTAGGCCTGGGTCGTATGCCCCGCAGGAAGGATGGCACAACGGTCAGTAACCACAGCAGAGCAGCGCTGTAAAGCAGAGTTATAATCCAAAACACAGTCAAGATTAGATCATGAAATCATTAACATATCCTTATTTATATTTTGGCATTCAGATTGACTGGGCAGCTAACATCCGCAAATCCTGGGATTTCAGCGAGGGTGGAGCATGTGCCCGGCTAGAGGCCTTTCTGAATGATGGTGAGACATCTTGCATGCACATTGTAAACAGTGATGCACAATATGGATTATTTTGGAGAAAAGTTGTGAATTGTCTCATTGATGTAACAGTACCTTATGATTCCTCCATGTTTCCTAGGTGTGTATAGATATGAAAAAGAGTCAGGCAGGGCAGATGCCCCAAATACCAGCTGTCTGTCTCCCTACCTTCACTTCGGTCAGTTAAGCCCTCGCTGGCTGTTATGGGATGCCAAAGGGGCGCGCTGTCGACCCCCGAAGTTCCAACGCAAATTGGCCTGGAGAGATTTGGCTTACTGGCAGCTGACATTGTTTCCTGATCTCCCCTGGGAATCCCTCAGACCTCCATACAAGGTATATGATTAGCTTAAAACACCCATATTAAAATGTAGTGTAAGTAATACTCGTAAAAGCAAAAATAAATGTAAAGTTGAACAATTCAAAGCCTAAAGGACACCGCTAAGAACTATGTTTATTACAAAGCAATATTCGTATTTGCAGGCTCTGCGGTGGAGCAGTGATAGAGACCACCTGAAGGCCTGGCAGCGGGGGCGGACAGGCTACCCTCTGGTGGATGCAGCCATGAGGCAGCTGTGGCTGACAGGTTGGATGAATAACTACATGAGACATGTGGTGGCGTCTTTTCTAATAGCATATCTCTATCTCCCATGGCAAGAAGGCTATCGTTGGTTCCAGGTGAGACATAATAATAATAATACATTTTATTTATATAGCGCTTTTCACAACTCAAAGACGCTTTACAGTATGAGGGAGGGTAGACAGGCAAACAAGTAAATATAGTAAAATAAACAAAAAAAGGCAGTCAAGAGGAAGTTGATTGAGAGGGGGGGGGGCTTATTGGTAGACAGAGTTGAAAAGATGTGTTTTGAGGGGGGACTGAAGGACTGAGGGACTCAGAGTCACGAAGATCTTGGGGGAGGGAATTCCAGAGCCTAGGAGCTGCCACTGAGAAGGCTCTGTCCCCAAGGCTGCAGAGTGTGGATGTGGGAATGGATAGGAGTCCGGCTGCGGTGGATCTGAGGAACCGTGGGGGTTGATAAGGAGTGAGAAGGTTTGTGAGATAAGGGGGGGGGCAGATGGTGGAGTGCTTTGTAGGTGAGGACCAGAATTTTGTAGTTGATGCGATGGGAGACAGGAAGCCAGTGGAGGTCTTTGAGGACTGGGGTGACGTGATGCCATGATTTGGTATGCGTAAGGAGACGTGCAGCTGCATTTTGAACCCGTTGGAGTCTGTTGAGGGATGTAGTGCTAATGCCGTAAAGAAGTGAGTTGCTGTAGTCAAGGCGGGAGGAAATGAAGGCATGGATTAGTCGTTCGGCTGCGGGGCAGGTGAGAGAGGGTAGGACTTTTGCAATATTGCGGAGGTGGAAAAGGGGGAAGAGGTTTTGACTGTTTGGCGGATGTGAGGTTCGAGGGAGAGGTCAAAGATTACGCCAAGGTTGCGTGCCATCGATGGTGAGCGTTATGTTAGTGACCTTGCTGAGAGTGGATTTGGAGCCGATTAGGAGGAGTTCTGTTTTGTTGCTGTTCAGTTTGAGGAGGTTATGTTGCATCCAAGTTGTAATAGCTGTCAGACAGGAGTCGATGTGGGTAAGGGGTGGGTTATGGAGGGATTTGGTGCCGAGGTAGATCTGAGTCCATGCATACACACAGGCACACAAAGCTCTCACATATATGTCATAGCAGCAACACACAGAATAATAAGCACTCCTTACCAACCTCATCTGTTTAGGACACCCTGGTGGATGCAGATGTTGCCATAGATGCTATGATGTGGCAGAATGGAGGCATGTGTGGTCTGGATCACTGGAACTTTGTCATGCACCCTGTCGATGCAGCCATGACCTGCGACCCCTACGGCAGCTATGTTCGAAAATGGTGTTCAGAACTTGCCGAGCTACCTGATGAGCTTGTTCACAAACCTTGGAAATGTCCTGCACCCATGCTACGACGTGCTGGTGAGAATGTTATTATGATCATTAAACATTAGGTTATTTTGTATGGAACATGCTACCTTAAGTTTTTAGTCCCACACCTTAACATACAAATATCCTCTTCTTGCTACCGTCACTGCCTAGGTCTGGTCTTTGGCCAAACGTATCCTGAGCGAATAGTTACAGATCTGGAGGAGCGGAGGAGTCGTTCGCTGCAAGATGTGGCTCTGGTGCGGAAAGAGTTTGGACAATATGTGGACAAGCGCTCAGGCTGCGACTTGGTGCCTCTGCCCCAACGCCTGGTCTCTGAGGCTCTGGGCTTGTCACACAGGGATGACGGCGTGGTGACAGAGGGACAGCAGTTCCTGTTGCCTGTTATCACCCGCATGGAATTCAAACACCAGCTAGAAGATCCAGACGCAGATGCCGTCTCGAATCCTTACAATGCTGTTCTGAAAGGATACGTGAGCCGCAAGAGGGATGAGACCATCGCCTTCCTCAATGAGAGAGACTTTACTGCCAGTGTGATGTACGAGGGAGTTCAGAGAAAGGAGAGGCTGGAGAGCGACTACCGTAGAATTGAGGGACTCCCTGGGCTTCCTGCGCCTCGAGGCGGGGCCAGACGAACTCCAACAGCCAAGGACCGGTTTTCTGTAGTACCTGGTGGAGCAGTCTCGTCACTCAGGTGACCCCAAGATCGAAAGTTCACAGCTTTAAGTGACCAGTAACTAGCTGTTAAATGGAAAAGTATCAAATTCTACAGAGCAATATTTTTTAAGTGCAAACAAATGTGTAAAGAACAACGAACATGCATTGTCCTTTTCACTAGAAAGGTTGCAGTGTTTGCAAAGAGCTCATTCGAACATTTTGTTAAGAATAAGTAGAATATGAGGTATTGGCCAAAGGAATGACACCAGTCTAAGTGAAACACATGGATCTGGGTCCACCAATACAATGCTGCTTCCTTTCTTAAAGTTTGTGTCCTTATTTTTGAACACACAATTATGAATTCTGTTACACATAATTGTACACATACATTGCATAGATTCAGTTGTTTGTCGGGAAACAAAGGTATACTGTTTCTCAGCAGTTAAAGATTTTTTTAAAGAGGCCTTATTTTACAGTGTTTACAAACTGTGTGTGTACATAACAGGTTGACTGAAATAGTTCAGGAGATATGTAAATGAGTACATATGCAAATAGATTTTGTATTATGTGACACTGACATACTGTAACACATCAGTGGACATTTTTTTAAAACTAAACTTTTTTCGGAAATAAAAAACGACAAAGAAAACAATGTCTAAGGAAATGTTTATTTTCTAATTTACAGTATAACTGTCACACATGCGGTGTAGACCAACATTATTATTATTAATACCATAAAGACCAAAGTGCGTTTTTTAAGTCTTACACAGTCCTACGACAAATCAGCTTTGCTTTGACTGTAAGTGTTTAATTGACTGAGTCTCAGTCTCTTCTGTTTGGGGATTTGAGGCTGCAGCAACTCAACACTGTATGTATATTCAGTCCAGACTGACCGGTCCCCTAAAGTCAGTCTTTAACAGTAGATAAATTATTCCTAATGTTCACAGCTCTACAACACTGGCAGGTCAGATATGTGGAGCTCTGGAGCTCCACTGGTGGATGTTAAGCATGTAGCTGACATGGGCACACCTTGTAGATCTCCCTGCCAGTGGTGTTTAAAAAGGAGAGGAAGCGTAACACTTTTAAGAAGGTGTTGGGTTAGTCCTCAATGGAACGGATGTATCTGTCATAGGCTGCTTCATCCATTAGAGCATCCAGCTCTGCAGGGTTGCCAATGGTCATCTTCATCAGCCAGCCTGTATTGAATCGTTGACAATCAGATTAAGCCATGAGTTAAGGACAACGTCAGTGTTTCATCATTCTTAAGTCTGCTAAGCACAAGAAACATTTTTGACAACACTGCCACTGTTTCCCAGAGCACTCTTTTTCAAAGGGGCTATCGGCTAATTTTGTTCATTACATAATGAAAATGCACTTGATAGTACTTTGTGGTTGCTTGAGCAAACCATCACAGTGGTTGTGTGTTTGCCTTTTGAAGCTACATGATCAATGCACAGTAGAGCAGCAATGAGTGAAATTAACAATTCTGCAGTGCATTGTCATGCAGTGATGTTATTCTGACAACAGAAAGTAGACCATGGTTAGTGTGATGGATCACTAACATACATGTCTATGTGTAGTCTCGTTGTATAGTTGTAAATGAAAGGAAACGTATTTGCTGTTTAGGAGTTAAGGCTAAAAGGAATTAATGTAAAACACTGGAATGGCATGGAAAATGCTAAACACTAATTCAAAGTATTTGCAACATAGAGAGCTACATAGGCAACATCATTGGTATGGATCAGGTGTGTTTGTCTTTAACACTTTTCAAAGACAGTTCTGCCACTGGGAGAACAAACGTTTTTGATTGGCATTTATGATACAAAATATGCTATATAAGGTATATGTTTTACAATTGAAAGATCCTGAAGTCAATTTCTTCTATATTATGTTGCATTACTGCCACCTACTGTCCAAATAAAATAAAGAAGCTAGTCAGCAGTACATCTCAAAGCCAATTACTGTGAATTATTATGGATGGTAACTGTAAAAATCTGTAAAACAATTACTTTCTTGATGTTTGACAAACTCCCCAGTACATTGATTTTAGACAAGTTTGTGTTGCAAGAGGGTAGGCCTAGACCAGTGTTTCTCAAACTTTTTCATAACCAATAAAAAAAACAGTCGCGGACCACCTAACTCCACAAATATCCAAAATCACATCGTTATTCTAGAACATATTACAAATCGCCTGAAAATGGTACAAACAAGTGCTGGGCTATATCATGCAATCGAAAGTGAAACTTGCGGAGATATTCCCGCAAGAGTGCAGAAAACTTAATTTCATTTATTTATTTCAAATGTGAAATTTTACAGAGATATTCCCGCGAGAGTGCGGAAAACTTAAATTAATTAATTTATTTCAAATGTGAAATTCTACTAATATACTCACGGACCACTAGGGGGCGCTCACGGACCACCAGTGGTGCGTTTCCACTGCAGGCCTCGCTCGGTTTGGTTAGGCCTTATTAGGACCGGCTCACTTTAATGCTGCGCTTCCATTACAGTTTAGGAACTGGGGCAGTTACTATAGTAACGCAGTGTAGGCGGAGCCGTGACGTCATCTTCAATGAGAGCCCCAGAAAAACAACACAGCCGTTAGCTCTTAGCACTCAGAGCTCACAGCTCCTCATATCTGTTCAGAAACTAGACAAAAGTTAAACAAGTACAAACCACAGACTGCCTGTGTCATGGCGAATACAGTCGCTGGTTTATTTATGTCTGTATCGGCCGTTGTTGCGAGTGTGGACGGTCGGAGCATATATAACGTTAGCTGAGCCAAGCTACATTTAGAAAACACGCATTTTAAAAAGGGTTTTTCGCCTGCCGTCTGTCTGCAGACTTGTCAAAGCATTAATTCATGGTTTTTACTAACCGGTATTAGTATGTTGTTACTTCGGCATCATTTTGAAACTTGTATTACAATTAAATCACGGTCAAATATGTTCATCTTGTTGTAGTTGTAGCCCCCTTGCCAGCGATTCTCTCTCTAGTTTAGCATACTCAGCCCGACTCAGCCTGGTTGTTCCTGGCCCTAGAACCACGATTTAGTCGGGCCAGAAAAAAGGTGAAAAAGTAGCCCCGGGCCAAAACTAGGACAAGTGGAAACGCAACCAAAAACGGGCCCCGCACGGCTCGGCACGCTTAAAGCGAGCTACCCGCTGCAGTGGAAACGCGCCATTTGAGAAGCACTGGCCTAGACAATGACTGGTGTCAGTGTTCAACCTGTACATACAATCTTAGGCCCTGTCCACACGGAAACTAAACAGGTGTTATCCGCTATAGTTCTTTATTAGGCCGCAACGGAACCGTGGAAACGGAGCCCTCAAACAATAACGCTTCCCAAAGTGGGAAGGTTTGGTAACGCAACGCTTGCGGCACCGTGTGTACGCCCTAAACGATCGCATCTCCCCACCTCTCCTGCTCACCCTGCGTCATTGTTGATGCGTTTCACCAACAACAACAACAATGGCGGATCACAGGGTTGCGTTCGTTCGTGCAACGACTACTGACCATGATACAGATGTTAGTGCAAAATCTACAGCTCCTCTACCACAACGATCAGCAACAAGTGGACATGGAGAACTACATGTTGCAAAATCCACCGCGGAGAATAACCAGAAGGGCAACCAGGCAACCATGCTCGGGGGTCTTCTTCGCTGCTTTTGGTGTATTTTGTGGCGGAAGTACAGTACTTCCGCCACTTACAGGCCCGGCGTATGTACTACAGCGTCTCCAGCGGGTCGAGCGGTCTCGTGTGGACGGACACGTTTCTTGTGCCGATTCCGTGTGGACGGAAGACTTTTTTTTATATCGACCTCGGTTCGTTTTCGTCTCCGTGTGGCTGGGGCCTTAGACTCTTCATAGTCAAATATCACCTGTATAAGCTCTAACACTAGCTTAAAGTATGCTGCTTTCAACTTCAAATGCCCTCTTTAAATAACTGGACTACACATTTTTCTGAGTGACTCACCATCTGTGTAGCAGGATTTGTTGACCAGACCTGGGTTGTCTGCCAGGAGAGTATTGACCTCTACAACTTCTCCAGTCAGGGGGGAGTAGAGCTCACTGGCAGCCTTCACACTTTCCAGAGCCCCAAACTCATCTGTGGCAGATTGACATCAAAGTAAGTTAATTTCACAATCGCAACCTCACAGAGGGTTCAGCCAAATATTGCTTAGTTATGGTGAACTTAATTCAGGTAGGTTTTTTTTTTGTGGCATGACAACAATTAATATGTTTATCCAAACACAGGTGCTGCAAGTTTAAATCGTTTACAACCACATTTTTTGTTTTAATTATTGGTGGAAAGTAGAAAAGAAATTGCTCATTAACACAACAATATGATACTTTTGCTTTATGATATTATATATATTATAAATATGCAGGCTTTAAGGTTTTAAAAACTTTAAAAAATCTCAACTAAACACAAAATAAATTGAGACTGTTTTTACACTTGTTCCCTTCATCCAACAGGAACAAAACCAACATTTCACTAAAATATTTCGTGAATGTTAACACCAAATAGCATGTGGTGGTGGCAAAGTCCTTAGGGGCTTGGCAACTGGAAGGTCACCAGTTCAAGTCCCGGCAAGACCAAGTGCTACCGAGGTGTCCCTGAGCAAGGCACCGTTCCCTACACTCCTCCCCAGGTGCCGTTCATAATGGCAGCCCACTGCTCCTAACCCTAGGATGGGTCAAATGCAGAGAAACTATTTTGTTACATAGTACCTGTACTATGTAATGACAATAAAAGTACAAAAATAAATAAAACGTAACACACAATACTAGTAATCTAAAATATCTCAATCCTTAAACTGACATATTTGCATTAACAACTATTGAGCAGAAAGTTATTTTATTTTCACCACCAAGTGATTAGATATATTGTATTTTAGGAATTGTTAAGTGTCCTTGGGTGTAATGAAAGGCGCCTCGAAATAAAATGTATTCATATTATTATTAAAAAGGTAAGTGTGAGATAAAATGCATGAGATTAGGGTTGCTGATTTTTCGTTATCAATATCTGGTGAATTCGTTTTCAAATCTGATAAACTAATCGTGTAGTGTATGACTTTTCAAAAAACGGAAAGTGATTTTAGCCTGAGCTGCCCTGAACTCCATACCTTGCTGAGCCAGCTGTGTCCCCACCTCTGGCAGTCCACAGTAAACTACATCCCCCAGAGCCTCCTGCAAGTGGCAGAGAGCAAGGTCAAACGATGTTGCAAAAAAAATTGTGAACGTGTGCATGCACTAATGTCTGTGTGACCAGGGAACTTACTTGCGCAAACTTGCTGATACCGATAGTCCCATTCCCGTCGTCTTCTACCCGGATCCATTCGTGCTTGTCTGTGAATTTAAGATCTGCAAAAAAACACAACTTCAGAACACAAACAGCACCCTGGTAGAAGACTTTGGAGTATTTTGTAGTTGATGTAGTTAGTAGTTGTTAAGTTTGACAACAAGAAAAACAACAGAGGCAAACAGCAGTGTCGTGTCCTCTTATATAGCTAATGTTACCCTCTAGCTACCGAAAATGTTAGCTAAATGTGCTACAATAAAATACGTGCAAAAGGCAATACCTGCTGTTACTCGACTAGAAGTGGTTATGGTTCTTCCAAAGTAAGGTGTAGATGCCAGCCGCAACGG